ACAAATTAAAGAACAGACAGTGATAACTATAGGTAAACAAATGGAAGTATTACAAATTAAAGAACATACAAAAGCAATCAATGGAATCTTTTCAACCAAAACTTCTGGTAAGTGGTTTTGCCAAACAGAGTGTTACCTTGCAAAGTTCTGTTTACACATTTTAAGATTTGTCTGTTTGGTAACTATTGGTGCTATTAGGGCAGAAATGCTTCTTAACAACCCAATATAATATTTTGGTGCAGTTTAGATGGGACATCATGTGACTCCCTGCTTCTTAGCTCATGGCTGCTCTTGTCCTACTATGGCTGCTGCTGCCCTACTATGGCTGCGGCTGCTTACTGCAGAAAGCCTTTCACTTGCAACAATCACTCTATATCTGACCTCTCAGTTCTCATATCAAAGGAAACTTGCAAAACCCCTTGAATAGATGAGCCTGGGAGCTTAAATTCATAACTTAGCTAGACACTAAAAATCATGGACACAATAAAAACACTGGGTTTATGGCTCATTACAACAATTTGTAACCCACTAACCCTCCTGTCCTATGACTGCGGAGGTGTTAACTGCACACTTCACTTTGAATAGTCTCTTTGCAACGTGTTAACTCCTTATCTGCTCCACCTTGTCTTTAGCTGTGACACTGAAGGCAAGTCTACACTTAAAAGGCTGCATTGGTGCAACTGCACCACTGTAGCGCTTTAATGAAGACACTCTAAGCCAGTGGTTTTCAAACATTTTTTCTGGCAACCCAATTGAAGAAAATTGTTGATGCCCACAACCGAACAGAGCTGGGGATAAGGGGTAAGGGGTTGGAGGGGCTCAGGGCTGGGGCAGAGGATTGGGGTGCAGGCTTACCTCAGGTGGCTCCCTGTCAGCGGCACAGCAGGGGTGCTAAGGCAGGCTTCCTGCCTGTCCTGGCATCGCAGACCACGCTGCACCCTGGAAGTGGCCAACAGCAGGTCCGGCTGCTGGGCAGAGGTGCTGCTCTTGCCCGCAGGCATTTCCCCCCCCAGCTCCGGTGCTCGGGGCAGGGGCAGTGCACGGAACCCCATGGCCCCCCTGCCTAGGAGCTGGACCTGCTGCCAGCCGCTTCCGGGGTGCAGCATGGTGTCAGAGCAGGTAGGGACTAGCCTGCCTTAGCCGGGCAGCACTGCTGACGGGACTTTTAATGGCCCGGTCAGCGGTGCTGACCAGAGCCGCTGCGACCCAGTGCCTTACATTCCACGAATCAGTACTGGGTCGTTTCCCGCAGTATGAAAACCATTGCTCTAAGCTAACAGGAGAGAGCTCTTCTGTCGGTTTAGTTAATCCACCTCCACACCAACATAGTGCTGTCTACATGGGGGGTTAAGTTGGTATAACTATGTTGCTCGGGGGTATGAAAATGTGGATTTTCACACCCCTGAGCAACATAGTTATACAGATATAGGTCTGTAATGTAGACCAGACCTGCGTACCTTTGCCTGACCTGAAGAAGAGCTCTGTATAAGAGAAAAAGCTTGTCTCTTTCACCAACAGAAGCTGGTCCAATAAACAATATTACCTCACCCACCTTGTCCCTCTAATATGCTGGGACCAACATGGCGACAGCAACACTGCAAATGGTAACTAATTGACATATATGGAAATTATTGTGACGTAAATGGGTATTAAACCAATTAGCAGTGGGAACCCTCAAGAGAAGTGGGGTTAAAAATACAGATAAGGAAAAGATGTGAAAACCATTAGAAATACGCGCAAGCTAAAGTGGGTGTTAGCATAACACAATAGGCATGAGTGCTCAGAGATGCCATGATAACAAACACATACTGACTCTTGGGTATCTCCACAAAGGATGGTGTAAAGCAGAGATCGGCAACCTTTGGCATGCGGCTCGCCAGGGTAAGCACCCTGGTGGGCTGGGTCGGTTTGTTTACCTGCCGCGTCTGCGGGTTCGACTGATCGCGGCTCCCACTGGCCGCGGTTCACCATCCCAGGACAATGGGGGCTGCAGGAAGCGGCGTGGGCAGAGGGATGTGCTGGCCGCCGCTTCCCGCCAGTGGGAGCCATGATCAGCCAAACCTGCGGTCGCGGCAGATAAACAAACTGGCCCGCCCCGCCAGGGTGCTTACCCTGGTGAGCCATGTGCCAAAGGTTGCCGATCCCTGGTGTAAGTAATGCAAGCGCTGGACATCTGACAGTATCTTTCTATTTTTTGCTCTATTGAAGAGTGTGTGTTTCAGGGGCCTGGAGCACATGACTTATGAGGAGAGGCTGAGGGAACTGGGATTATTTAGTCTACAGAAGAGAAGAAGGGGGGGGGGGATTTGATAACTGCTTTCAACTACCTGAAAGGGGGTTCTAAAGAGGATGGATCTAGACTGTTCTCAGTGGTACCAGATAACAGAACAAGGAATAATGGTCTCAAGTTGCAGTGGGGGAGGTTTAGGTTGGATATTAGGAAAAACTTTTTCACTAGGAGGGTGGTGAAGCACTGGAATGGGTTACCTAGGAAGGTGGTGGAATATCCTTCCTTAGAGGTTTTTAAGGTCAGGCTTGACAAAGCCCTGGCTGGGATGATTTAGTTGGAGATTGGTCCTGCTTTATGCAGGGGGTTGGAGTAGATGACCTCGAGGTCCCTCCCAACCCTGATATTCTATGAGTCTATGATTTTTGCCTGGCTAGCAAATAAAATTATTATGTAATCAAAGAGTAGTGTGATGTCCCTGCTGTGTATTTTGGGATCCTCATTGTGATGACAAGTTCTCTACAGTAGCTGATCTTGGGGCTGACCCTTCCCAGACCACTACATTTTAAATCTGGGGAGATTAACAAATTAAGCTGCATACTACCAAAGAAACTGGAGGACTCTCTCTTGAGGTCTCCAAATTAAGACTGGATGCCTTTCTGGAAGATACACTTTAGTCAAGTTATTGGGCTCTGTAACCGAGTGAAATTTAATGGCCTGTGATTTACAAGGGGTTAGACTAGATCAGGGATCGGCAACCTTTGGCACGCGGCTCGCCAGGGTAAGCACCCTAGCAGCCGGGCCGTTTGTTTACCTGCTGCTCCCTCGGCCCGCACCGCTTCCCACAGCCCCCATTTGCCTGGGATGGCGAACTGCGGCCAGTGGGAGCCTCGACTGACCAAACCTGCGGACGCGGCAGGTAAACAAACTGGCCCGGCCCGCCAGGGTGCTTACCCTGGCGAGCCGCATGCCAAAGGTTGCCAATCCCTGGACTAGATGATCTAATGGTCCCTTCTAGCCTTAACCTCAATGAACTAGGAACGTTATCGAAGCACTATACAACAGTGTTAAAAACCATATTCAAACCACGCTGGGTTTCTGTTTAATACGTTTCAGTTTACATCACTTGCTGTATTTGTAGTGTGAAGTGGGTTTTACAGCAGGGATTAAAAATCATACTGTTCCAAGATCTAAAACTGGCCACATTTGGTCCAAGACCAGTGCTCAAGCAGTGCTGCTGCTGTGAGTGCCCAGTGACTGGTTTAAGGTCTAATATATCTCAGGTCTTGAAGGCAAGAAGTTGAAATGTGCCATGCAAATCATTAAATTCAATTTCCTTTTAAACTTTGTTAACGACAAAAAAAGTAAAAACTATGTTTACTGTACTGAGTTTGGTTAATATTTTGGAATAAATCCTCAAGGGACCTCATCAATTATTTATGTGAAAGTTAACTGAGTAACCGATAAGAGACTGATAATAAGTATATTATTCAGAGAGGCAGACAGTTACATCCTTTGAGGGAGAGAGATAATGTAGCTACATATACTTGAGCCTGAAAGGCAAGGCCATTGCCTCCTTCACAATACCAGCAGTTCTTCTTTATTCCATATGAATTTGAAATGCAACATTAAAACTACTAATTTAAGTAGGTACTCACTGGGAGTGGGATTTCAAAGCAGTTGAAGAACAAAGGTAATTAGCCAGTTTTACTATTAGTGCCGATTCTAAAAGGTGCCAAACATTCTCAATTCCCACTGAAATTAATGGGAGTTGTGACTGCTCAGCATCTGCACTTTAAATTAGCTTTATCAACAATATTGTATTACTTCCCAGTAGTCAACTAGACTTCTGTTGACACTATTGGCCCACCATTGCTATCACCATGAATTTTCAGATTTAAATAGCTGAAATCATGAAATGTACTATTTAAAAAATCCTATTACTGTGAAATTGACCGTGAATTTGGTAGGGCCCTAGACATAGTTTATCGCACTGTTTTTTAAAAATGGCCATGCAAAAATCAAAGTTGGGAGGTTTTTTGTTTATGAATCAGATCACTTCTGAGAATGGAAATGACTCTTCCATTCCTTGTTCTGTTTGCAACATAATTACATTATCTCTGTGGACAACAAAGAATCGTGCTAAAACTTTAGCCTTTCACTTCTGGAAATGAAGATTTTATATATTGTCTTAGATGACAAGTATTTGGTACTCTTAACTGTATTCTTAGTGAACATTCATCCAAAAAAGTCTAGTACAGTCAGGGCCTTAGATGAAGAGACTTGTACTGCTACATAACCTCCAGATCATCTATCTCTAAGCCTTCATATCATTAGTTAATGACTGCTTTTTCCTTTGGAGTTCATAATCTTTTATAGTTTCTGCCAATCTCATTACTTCAATGCTCTTCACTCCAAGGTGGATGTTTCTGAATGTTGTTAGAGTATCTACATCAGGGACTTCCAAATGATCATGGTATTTCAAGATCTCCTAAACATTTTGTTGCTAACTTCTACTACAGTAGCCTCAGCTTGAGACTGACATGTACTAGCAGTTTTTAAAACTTGTCAACAGTCTCATAGAACCCAGGCCTAACTTTCCTGATGCTCATACGTATATGTTGACACTCAAGAGGCATACTATCACCAGCTGATGTTGGTGAGCTGGCAGTCCACGTAGAATATGGACGCTTTCTTTTCCCCTTAGATGAAAAATCTGGAACACCTTCATCCTCCTCCTCTTCTACAACATATGTTTCATTTACACTCATACCTTCATCTGACTTCTCATCAGTTTCGTAAGTCTCTTCTTTGACTTCACTTGCTTCTTTTTTTTCTGCAATTTTTCTCAAGTGCTCCAGGCACTGTAGTTTTCTTCTTTCCATCATCTTAATTTCTTTCTTGTCCATGAAATCTTTATGGTACATTTTTCTTTCACTTCTTTGGTTTTCAAGAAATTTCCACTCAACGTCTGTCATTTTTATACCACTGTATTGTTCCAGCTCATTTCTTATCACTGTGTCTGTACAAAATATGTCAAAGAGCTGTTCTGAACTCCTGTTGAATGTGTCTGCCTTCTCTGTAAATGACTGATTTTGTCTCTGCTTTCTGGTTTGATAGAGTTTTGTGAATTCCTCATACATTTTGAGAATATTCTTTTTTATATTTTTTGTTGCTATGGTGTGTAAGTTGCAAAACAACCAGTGTTCCTGCAGAAGTTCAGCAAGCAATTGGGCTGCATCTTCTTTTGACCGTTGTGCTTGCCCAGCTCTTTTGGGTTGCAACAGATACAACATGTTCTGAATGACATCCTTATTTGTAGGTAGAATTCCTTGGGAAAATTCTGATGACTCTACATAGTCAACGTTTCCTAGAGTTTTCTTTGCTTTAGACCCCGTATCCAACGATTCCATCACTACTTTCTTATTGTCTTGTAATTCTGACAACCTGAAAGTAAGATGAAACTCAAAATTACAATTTTTGCAGCAAGAATAAACATCAGAACAGTCTGAGAAAAGGACAAAGTTTACATGAAAAAAGACATTCTAAGATATTATAGTATACACAGATACTGTTGGAGATCTACTCTCTTAGATCAGTCCATCTAGATGTCCGCACAATGAAACTGTCCTGCTGATTAGTACAACTTCTTTATAGAATATTAATATTTATTATTTGGTTAGTTTTGTCATTTTTTGACTGAATTTCTTAAATATTAGCTTTTCAATATTACAAATGCTCAATCCATTGTGCTTCAACTTTTGAAACACAAAGAAAGAGTGTGTCCACACTAGCCACTCTGAAACAGTCTAAGCTTTACCCTGCATCCGCACTAGGGCTGCCTTAAACTGATGCAGGTGTAGTGAATGGGCTGTCATCTCAAAGAAGATCCAACCTCCTCACCCCACCCTTTAAAATGCATCCTGGCCACATCATCCAACAACTGCCCCTAAAGTATCCAATCCCCCTATACAGCTCAAAATACCCACAGGATCTGGTGTTGAACACTCTCAAGTGGCACTGTTGAATCCTTTGCAAAAAATTATTCATCGTCATCAAAAGATGATGTTGCTCTGTTGGACCTGAACAGCTCTGACAAAGCAGAGCCCTAATGAGGGATGGTTGGCACTTTCTTTTGGCCCTGGGGGGGGGGGCTTAATGGAGGGGGGTGAGGCTGCTGTCAATGGAATCCAAGCATCTGCATTATTTGGTTCATCAGCTATAAGTCATGATTTGGCACCTGTACTAGCAGCTGGTGAGCCACAGTTGGCTCAGTTTGGGACATCTGGTAGCCAGGACAAGTGGTATGACAGAAGTGGGGGCAGGGCATTTCAGGGATGAGGATTAATGGGGTGGTTCATGGGCAGAGGGGAACATTTGACAGGAGACCATTGCTAGGAGGGGGACCCCAGAGGGAAATGTGTCAGAAGTTCACAGTTAGCTTAGAATGTGTCTATGCAGGAACCATTAGTTGAGCATTTGGAGGGAGTAATCATGAGTGGGGCACCATTTCTGAGGAGGGGACTCTGAGGAAGTAGCGGTTTGAAAGGGGACTCTTAGCTGGCAAACTAAGGAGGTTCACTGGCTGAAGGGCCTGTCAGCTCTAAGCTGTGTCAGTCAGTAATGCACAATTGTGCCAATGTACATGCTGGATTGATCTCCAATTGACTGAAGTATTATCCCTAAAAATTTCAGGCAGAGAGCACTAATTGTTACATAACACTGGTTGAAGCACTTATGTACATGGACACAAGGTGCTTTTCATTTGATTAAGGGGGAACAATCTACATTAACCCTGGTACATTTTTCTAAAGGTGACAAAACCCGTTTGAGGGGTAGGGTTGCCAGTTTTCTACTCACACAAAACCCAAACAGCCTTGCCCCACCCCCTGCCCCACCCCTCCTCCAAGGCTTTGCTCCCGCTCACTCCATCCCCCCTCCCTCGGTCGCTCACTCTCCCTACCCTCACTCACTTGCTTATTTTCACTGGGCTGGGTCAGGGGGTTGGGGTGTGGGAGGGGGTGAGGGCTCCGTCTGGGGATGCAGGCTCCGGGGTGGGGCTGCGGATGAAGGGTTTGGAGTGCAGGAGGGGGCTCCAGCCTGGTGAGGGAGGGAGCCAAGGGGTTCGGAATATGGGAGGGGGCTCTGGGCTTAGGCAGGGGGTTGGGGTGTGGAAGGAGGTATGGGCTCTGGGCTGAGGGTTCAGGTTCCGGGGTGGGGCCAGAAATGAGGGGTTCAGGGTGTGGGAGGGGGCTGGGGTGCAGTGGGGGTGAGGGCTCTGGTTTGGGGCTGAGGATTTAAGGTGCAGGTCATAGACTTTAAGGTCAGAAGGGATCATTATGATCGTCTAGTCCAGGGGAGGGCAACCAATGGCATGCATGCCAAACACGGCACACGAGTCGATTTTGAGTGGCACGCTACCTGTCCGGTGAGAGGAGGAGGAGGAGGGGCAGAGGGGTCGGAAAGCGCCACGCTGGGGGAAGAAGCGGGGGAGGGGGGAAGCTTGGCGGCCACAGGACCAAGCTTTTGCCTTCTGCCCCCGCAGGGGAGAGCGGTGGGGGGGGTCCCGGCCCCGCGCCCCACTCAGCCCCCCCCGCCCACCGCTCTCCCCTGTGGGGGCAGGAGGCAGAAGCTTGGTCCTGCAGCAGCCAAGCTTCCCTCCTCCCCCACTTCTTCCCACAGCTTGGTGCGTTCCGGCCCCTCCTCCTCCACCCCCCGCCCCCGCTGGCCCTTGCGAGGGGAACGGGGAGCGGAGCAGAGCTGAGCGCAGCGTGCTCCCTGCTCTGTAGAGCAGGCAGAGAGAGGTAGGGACGGGCCTTGGGGAAGGGGGTGGAACAGGGCATATCCCTCCCAGCCCCCTGCCTTGAGCTGCTCAGGGCAGGGGGCTGGGAGCACCCCCACGAGCCGAGCACCCCAGCCTTCTGCCCTGCACCCTCCCCACCCCCCTGCCCTGACCTCCCCCCAACACCCAGCCTTCTGCCCTGCACCTCCA